GGACTCTGGCGTAGATCTCCCGAAAGAGGTTCTCCAGGCAGGCGGTCAGGTAGATGGCCGCGTGCTCGTGGATGCGCACGGCCACCCGGCTGTCCACCATCCAGCGGTAGAACTTGCCCACCGAGAAGGTGAGGCCGCAGCGGGCGGACTTGCCGCGGCTGAAGCGGTCGCCGCCGCCGCCGCTGCTCATGTTGTAGAGGGAGAGGGCGCTGAGGGCGGCCGCCGTGCAGCTGGAAGCCAGGCTCCAGCCCAGGACGATTTCCATGGCACTCTGGATCTCGTACTTGGTGCATTTGGCGAAGCGCAGGCTCAGCCGCTGAGCCTCCCGGGCCAGCCGGATGAGCGCCCGGCTGACCAAAGTGGAAAGCCTGGCCAAGGCATCTTTGGGAGGGCGGCGCTGCTGGAGCTGGCGAGGGCTGCCGCCGCCGCCGCCGCCGGCACCCCCACCAGCCCCCTGGGCTCTTTGCGCGGCGGTTGCTGCTGCTGCTGCTGCTGCTGGAGGAGGAGGAAGAGAGCCTCCACCTCGTCCAGGCTCCAGGGTACCTCCTCAAGGTCAGGCAACAGCCTGGAGCAATGCTGCCCGGAGCAGTCCAGCACTTCGGAGTCTTCCACCAGGACAGTGTTGACGGTGTCAAAGCTGTTGTGTCGACTGTGCATCGAGTCAGCTAGATGCGGCCAGCCGTTTCCTCCATAGGGGTAAGCGGCGTGGGGGGAATCGGAGCAGCACAGCGACAAGTTGGAGGACCGGACGGAGTCTGCGGCACCACCATACCCCGAGTCCAGGGTCAGATCTTCCAGCGTCCTCACCGCCGTCTTACCTCTCCTTGCCATCGCTGCACTTCATGCTGCACCAGCAAGAAACTTTAAAAAGAGAACGCCGTGGTCGGTTACTCCGCTCTTTCACTCCTCCTCCTCCTCCTGCTGTTGCTGTTCTCTTTTCACAGGTATTTCTGAATTCTTTCTCTCTCTCTCTCTTCCCCACTTCGCAGCTTCCTCGTTTGGCACGCGCAGATCCCGTCCACACTCAGGCAACCAGAAAATAAAATTAAAATAAAATTACCCTCCAGGCTAGATCCGCGTTGGCAGGAGGACGCACCGCGAAGTCTCCGCAGCGAACGCCCCCTCGATCGTCCCAATTTGGCGGCGGAGGAGAAGAAGAAGAAGAAGAAGCGGCGGCGGCGGCCGCCTTCCCCACTTCTGTCCGCGAGCTCTTCCGCTCCCCGATTCCAGGACTGCACTAGCCCGCAAACCCAAAACCAACCCAAGGCGGCGCGGGCGCGGAAGAAAGAGGAGGGGCTATGCAAAGCATGCAGAAAAGAGAGCCAATCAGAAGGCTCACATTTATTTCATTGCTACCTTTCTTTTTTCTTCCCCCCCCTCCCCGTCCTCCCTCCCTCGCGCAGCTTGCGAGGGTGGAGAAGCGTCACTTGCCCCCCCGCCCCGCCGAACGATTCGGGGAGAGGGAGTCGGGCGCTCTGCCGAATTCGCTTTCGGTGCGTTATGACAGCAGCCGAGTGGCGGGTTGGCGGGTGCC